GGACTACAAGATTTAGGCAGGTTTGAAACCAGTCACCTTTCTTGTCTTCGTGTTTTAGTGAATTATCGTTATGTATGGTGGCCTGCTCTGACTATGTTCGGTATATTACTGACGAAAGCTCGCCAAGGATTCATTGTGGTCGTAGGGGGCTGCGCCGATGACCTATTCGCACAAATCTACGGTCACGGCTTTAGGGCAATCCCCCTATAGCTTCCGGTGAGGCTATCTTACAAATACCTTTCACTCGCCTCTTCAAACAAAATGAAAGATAGCCCGTTTAAGAGATTGTTCGAAACCCAGTTTTTATACTTAGCCTTAATGAGCACAATTTGTCACGTATTCGCATTTCATACTAAATACTGTCAGCATCTTGTCCTAATACAGTTGAATTTTAAATCAGCTTCTAGTATTTTAATGCTAAATGTACTCAGTCGCGTCTGAGAATTTTATCGCCCAAATACTGTTTTTATTTCCCACCAGACGGAGTTTTAATGATTTTTATTACCATATTTTGGCTTTGATATTTCATTTTCTTCAATTGACTCTCTAGGATTGTAGTAGAATCCCTACTCTTCGGATGGGTCGCGGTTTCCCTGCCGATTTAGTTCAAGTGCATACTAGCCAGGCTTTGACTGTAATAGAGGCTGACCGAAGACATGAGCGAGAACTAGATATGTTAACTCTGCCATTACTCGTCTGGCAAGAGGCAAGGCGCCGCCAGCCTGTTTTCAGTGGCTTATGCGATGGTACTCGTGAACGAGCTACACCTCCACTATCTAACACATGTATATCAGGTCCGAGTACCGACAGCATATTGTCTGGTTCCCTAACCTCCAACAGAGACACAATTTCTACAGGAGTTTTCTGTCGTAAAAATTCGTCAGAACCAAAGCGACATGACTATCATCATAGTCATCATCATCATCACCATCATCATCATAAGCATCAATGTCGAGACAATCGACGACTCTATCAGCCAATTCCGCAAGAAAAGGTTTTGGACGGACTTCAGCAGTCAACAATATCTCAAGCGACATCCTGCCCCGCTACGCAAGCCACTCTGAATGGAGTTATCCCGGAACCAAATCAGGTTGGCTAGATGTGACTACGATTATCTTTAATATAACGATTAATATTTCCTTGCCAGATATAGATTATTATTATGATTAATGCAACTGATGCCATTATTGATATCTGAAATTTGACAGCTTGTCTACATTTATCGACTTTTTCTTCTGAAATATGTCTAAGCATTTGATTTTATGATTTAACTACTAGTTTCTATAGTTTACCTCTTTTTCTTCTAAACCACTTACGTCTTCTCTAACACTGCTTCACTGATGTAGGCCTATACAAATCGCATCAACTTCATTTTACTTGGGTTTTAATATATATTTGAGGCTAGTTAATAGAAAACTGAGCTGTTAAACTCTTACTCATGCCCACAGCGGTCTATATAACTAAATTTTTTTATTGGATTTTGAAATTGGGGCTAGATTTTATTAGCACAAGCTATGAAATATGGCGAGAAGCTGAAGGTCAAATAGCCCCTTAGAATATTATAATTGAGGTATCTTTTATTTCTCGTTTATAAGTAGGCTTTTGAGACTTCCAGTAGACCATATCTATGAAATCTATTCACTTTGTTTCGTTAAGATGATAAAGGAAATGTAGCGGGATTTTCCCACAATGCTACGATTTTGTCTTATTTTTACATTGAATTTCACATAGCCTTGATTCCGAAAAAAAATATTCTCATCCAGTGGACTGGGTTTTCGACCTCGACTAGGTCTGTCTTATCGGCACCCTTAGCAGGACTCAAATTGTGATTGTGGTATTTGCTATAAAAATCGACTGCGTGACTTATAAGTTGATTTTGATGGTCATCAGTGGATCATATATATATATATATATAAGTTGTATTCACCCTATTTCGTTAAAGTGATGAAGGATTGGTACTGTCATAGTCCTAGTCCCGCTGGGGGTGTTGATAAGACATAGATGAGGTCAAAACTGCAGTCTACTCTGGAGAAGAGTGCCTTTTGGGTAGCAAAGCCATGTGGAATTCAATGGAAAAGCAAGACCTAGTCGTATCATTGTGGTAAAATTCATCACCTTAAGTAAATAGGGTTAATACATCCCACATATATGATGTACGGGTAGTCTCGAAATTGCTTATAAACAAAAAATAAGTTAATTATTCGATTGTTATAGCAAATCCAACTTTACTTCATCAACATGCCCATTAATATGGGAAAATGCCTGGTCTTCTTTGAAATTCACAACTTGCCTGTGATCCAAGGGGATTCGTGGCATTGTGGCTTAGTAATTGAGTTATCGATCTTGCAAGCTGCACTGTCATGGTTCGACTCGCTGGGGGTGTTGATAAGACCTATTCGAGGTCGAAAATGCACTTTCCCCAGGATGAGAACAACTTTTGGAAAAGCAAGGCTGCGTGCAATTCAATCGAAACGTCAGTTCTTTTCATATCATTGTCGGAAATTTCAAATACCAGTTCTTCATCACCTTTAACAGAATATGGTGAATGCATCTCATATAACTGATTTACTGGTAGTCTCAAAACACTGTTTTTAACGAAAGGTTTAAAGGAATTCCTTAATTTAATGAATAAAATAGCTAAGTTAGTAGCTTTTTGAAACTAGCAGTAAATCAGTTATAAAATAGCTAAAAGGAGTAAATTAGCACGAAAGAATGTTATTTTACGTTTCCTTTTCATTGATTTTATAATTACTATTTTAACCCTCTTGATAAATCGGTAGATAAATTCAATATTCAAGCGATGACATTAATTTATTCCCTTAGTTACTAGCCAAGACATCCAAACAGAGTAACTTACCATTTTTATGCGAAAAAAAGTTGGATTTTGAAAAATCTCTTGTTTCATAGTTGTTGTGCCTACTTCCATTTCAAATGAAAGTAAGCTCAACAATTATCATTTTTCTGTCTAATTTTTAAAGCAACTCCCATTAGTTTTATTAATTATTTGATGAAACTTCATTCAGAATATTCTTCTGTTGTTCATGAACTGTAAAGTATTCGTCAATCTATCTAGCAATAACTTGAATGTCT